GGGGGGGGGGGGGCAGCATCCCACCATCTCTTGCCTTTCAGAAATAGCATCGCTGCTTCTGCTGTGTGCGCCTTCAACCTCAGTGCCATCTCCCAAGCTTTCAATGGCCCATTTCGCTACCAGGAGAACCCCAGGGCTGCCTGGCTCCCCATCGCCAACCCCATCCCCAATTTCCAGGTACAGCTTCTCCTCCCTGCCCCTCTCTGCACACATTGCCTTCCACCAGACTACCAGCAACAAGCTGATTCTCAAACCTGTCCCTGCTGGTCTGTGCCCATCTGAGGGGTTCTACAATGGTCCCTTAAGAGGGTGGTAATCTCTAAGACTGTGGAACAAGAAGGGTAGAGAGGTTGGGACACAGCAAGGGAGCATGCTCTGAGCCATCTCTAAATGTGACCCCACCTCCAGGGAGGTAGGGAGGTGGGATCTCAGTTCTACTCAGTGTAGGGACCAGGAGAGCACACATGATCTGTCTAGCCAGAATTTGGGGATTTTAGCTGGAGTTTGCTTTCAGTCTACGTGGATACTAGTGCCTGGAGGGTCTCTGAATGCCAGAAGTGGTGAGGGCACTGGGTGCCTTGGGTAGCAACCCCAAGTGCTGTGACAGAGAAGGGGAAAGACCCATGGGGCAAAGGAAGCTACTGATGGTGGACTTTCATATCCATCCAACTTCCTGCCCAGGCCAGAATGGAGCAGGGAAAGGCCTCAGGCCTTGCAGTCCAACAGTCTTGACCCAGATCTAGCCCTCTCTCTATGTGACCTTGGGCAAGTCACTCAACTTCTTTGAGTCGCTTTTTCTTTATCTGTTATGTAGGGATAATTCCATTGACCTCATAGATACGTGTGAGGTCTCTGCAATGTAGTAGGTGCTCAATAAATGATAGTTGCTTTCCAGTTTTGGTTTGGAAGGCATAAGAACTTAAGCAGGTAGGGACACAGGAGAGGGAAGGCAGGGCTTGGCCCAATGGAGGGGGGAGGACACCTACAGCAACATCGTGAGATCAGAGGACACTTGTTATCCCGCTCCAATAATCAGTTTTTAGATAATCCAGTCCCCTTTGCATCTCCCCCTCTTCTTCCCCAGTCCTGGCAGGTCCTTCCTGTCCCGTCTTCCCAGCCTCAGTTTCCCTTAGTTCTCATAGAACAGGCTTCTGTTCTTGGAAGAGGGTGCAGGGGGCTCAGCGGGGATGCTGGGGGAGGCCTGAAGAATCAGAGTGTGCCCGTGACCACTTGTGTTCCAATGAGGAAGGAGGGAGCTAGGGGATTGCACGTGTGACTGGCCTCCCTGCGCAGTGCGGCACCCTGTCGGAGGTGGGCCCCAACGAGAACCTGACGGAGCGCAGCCTGCAGGACGCCCAGCGCCTGTTCCTGATGAGCGAGGCCGTGCAGCCCGTGACGCCCGAGCCCTGCGTCACCCAGGACAGTGTGCGCTTCTCACACCTCGTGGTGGACCTTGTGCAGGCGAAGGACACACTCTACCATGTGCTTTACATCGGCACTGGTGAGCCCACCAGCCGCATCTGGGCGCAGAGTGGGAGGAGGCTGAGGGGCTAGGGCTGGGGCTCTGAGGTTCCCGGCCCTTTAAGGCCACCCTCATCTGACCCTTCCAGAGTCGGGCACCATCCTGAAGGCACTGTCCACCACTAGCCGCAGCCTCCGCGGCTGCTACCTGGAGGAGCTGCAGGTGCTGCCCCCCGGGCGCCGCGAGCCCCTGCGCAGCCTGCGCATCCTGCACAGCGCCCGCGCGCTCTTCGTGGGGCTGAGCGACGGGGTGCTGCGCGTCCCGCTGGAGAGGTGCGCCTCCTACCGCAACCAGAGGTAAGCGGCGCGCGGCGGACCTCCCCGGGCTGATCCCCGCCAGTCGTGCAGTCGAAGGAACGCTTTGAAGTTTGTTGGATGGGGGTGTCATCCTGACACAGTCTCCAGCTGTGTGCCTTTGAACAAGTCACTTAACCTCTCTGAATCTTGGTTTCCTCCTCATAAAATCTCCGCGGGTTTTTGGCAGGGTTTTGTGAAGGTTAATTGGGATAATCAGCATAAGCCACTTGTCACTGCCAGGAGGTGTGATGGTCGCTGCTGTCATCCCTGTTGTCATCAGCCCCATAGTTAGAGCCCACTTGATTTCTCCTCAGTCTCCTCTGTTCAGAGAGTGGTCTTTATCTTTAAAACCACAGTGCTTGTTACGGAGAGGTGGGGGCAGATGAGAGATAAGAGGCACAGAGGCCTGGCTTGGGTGGGGTGGAGGTGAAGAACCACGTGGAGACTGCATACCTTTCCCAGCTACTTCCGAGATCAGTTCTCCATACCTTAGCTTCAGGTGGATTCACACACTTGGCAACAGCGATACTGGCATTTAGAGGGAAAACAAATGCTATCCCAAAGCCAAATGGAGATACAGCTCAGCCTCTGACCACGTGAACCTCCCCAAAGCTGCACCCCCTCATTTTTGAGCTAATAAAAAACTGCCTTTAGCTGGCATAGCCACAGCCCACATGGGCTCCTGTGGCCCTTGCAACATAGAGACCTCCTGGCTGTACCCATCTGTCCTTGGGATTTGGGAGACACATGGATTTCCTGCTGTCAAGGATTGTCCTCCAGCCCCAGTGGGGTGTGCTGGGAGCTGGGCAGAGGCCTGGAGGGCAGGGGAAGAGGCTAGATAGTCCTGATGTGGCAGCCAGGGGGGAGGGGGAGGGGTGGCAGTGGGCAGACAGTCAAGCTCTCCTCAGCCCCAAATATTCACTTAGCCCTCCCGTGGTCAGAGCACTTTGCAGGGCTGTCAGTGTGAGAGAAGCGAGGCAAGGTGAAATAAGCCTAGAGCACTTTCATTTCCCTCAGAGCTCTGAACGTGTGGTTGGGGAGAGAGATCTTGGCTTGTATCTAATGTGGGGGGAGAGACGGGGTGTATGTAGCAGGAGGGACTCATACGCTAGAATTGGACACACCTGGGCTTCCATCTCAGCTCCACTGCCTACTAACTATATGATCTTCAAGTTCCTCAACCTTTCGGGCTTCAGCTTTTTCATTGGGAAGATAGGAAATGGTGATGGAGCAAATGATATTAGAGTTTAATATTCATGAAGCACTTACCCAGTGAGTCATAAGTGGTAGCTAGTGTCCTTATGCCTTTTTATCTCCAGAAGTGCATTTAGGGGCCTCTAACCTCCTGGGCTTTCTGGAGTCTACAGTCTCCAGCCTTGAATACAGACAGGGCTACTTGGCAATGAATCACAGGCTACCTGAGGATGGCATTTCCCCCATTGCTTGTGTTCTTTAACTCTTGTGTTGTCATTCAACTTTTCACATGGGCCTTGTTCTTTAAGAGGTTGTAAATCCTTGAAGGCAAACTCAGTGTCCAGTATTTTTTATATTCTGCCAGGGGCCACACCCAGCCAAAGCATAAAGTGGCCTTCCCCACATGACTGCTCCTTCCTGATTTGGCCTGAAAGGATGTTGGTGCAGGAGAGGAGTGAGGAATGGGGCTGGAAAGTGGATTGATGCCACCTGAGAATGCCAAGGGAGGATTTTGATTCAAACCCTGTGATTGTGGGCACTGACGTGGTCTTAGAGCAGTGGAGTGAATGACAGGCAGCGTGAATGGGTGTTTTACAAAGATCAATCAGACAGTGGCGGGCAGCACTGTCGTGGGGCAGATGGTCAGCCAGCGTGAGCTAATGTGGCTCTAGCCAGATATGAACTAATGGGGTCTGCAGTAGAATGAGAGAAAGATGCCACCAGGACATGTCCCCACACATGGTACTGCAGTGAGGGGACGTGCAGGTTGCATAGTGTGGCCAGGTGTAACAGCAAGTGAGTAAGAGGTCAGTTGGGGATCTGAAACTTTCATCCTATTTGGCTTCCTGAGTTTGGGGTAAGAGACATTTATGTGTACAATGAAAACTGCCATAAAGCTATAGGTGGATGTAAAAATGGAAAACGTGAGGTTTCATTATTGCAAAGTTAATAAAATGACCAAAGTAAACCTGAGCAGCCACCACACTGTGCACTCCAGAGCATGGAAGCCAACTGTCTATCATACAATGTTACCAGAATTTGCACAATATGAGGTGGGTTGACACAGGGTCTTATCCTAGGATAGGCATTTCACCTCATTCCTTCCAAAGCTGGCAGGAGACGAGGGTGGGCAAGCAGAGCAGGCCCCCTCCTCTGCCCAGAATCCAGGGGCTTGTGTCCAGCCCCCTCCTTTCACTCAGGCAAATCTCAGTTCCATGGAGCACAGCCAGAACCCTAGCCTGGCCAGGGAGGGACCGGGCTCACAGGAGGCGGAGCAGAGGCCATGAACGCTGGCTTGGCTCTACAAAGCAGGTGTTTTATGCATGAGCCACCCCTTCCTCCTTCCAGCACGCCGATCAGGCTGCACAGGAGGGGCATGGCCTCTGTCCCAGCTCCCTCGGGAAGGAGGCTCAGAGAGCATCTCCTCCTGACTCCTCTCCCTGCCAGGGGGCCTTGGGCCACCCTGCTGCCATCTTCAATAACAGCTACGCTCGCAAGCTCCTGGGACAAACATTGCTACCCTGGACAGCTCCCAGTTACAGCCTCGCCGCATGGTGCTGGAAACTGCCTGCTTGCAACTTCCACCATCCATCTCTGTCCTGCGTCTGAGCCCCGGGAATGAACCTGTTCGCTTCTGTAATGGCTGCTTGAGACATTGCAGTAAACAAGGCATGGTGATGCATTATTGGTCTGATGGCTGCTCTTACGAAAGAAACTCTAAAGTGGCACCCAATCCTCCAGGCAGAGACACACTTTAACTCTTCCCTGCTTGGAGCTTTAATTTTCTTAAGAATGTTTCCTGCTCTGTAAGCTTTGGAGTTTCATTTGGAAAAAGCAGTGAATGAGGACCCGAGGGCTCAGGCACCAGCCCCAGGGCTGAGAGGGTGGGGGACCCCCATTGAGTGGGGAGGGGGAGCTGGGGCTAGAATCTACTCTGAGGCTTTTCTTGTTCTGTCCTGGGTTGGAGAGAAAAGGCACTTAATCTCTTGGCTTTGGAGTGTTTACAAAAGTGGCCCCGAAACAGCAGGTCTCAACCATGCTATTCATTAGAATCACCTGGGGAGTATTTAAAAGCTTCCAGTGCCTGGGCCTGCTCCAGTCCAAAGGCCCAGATAAAAGCAGGTTTTCGTTTGTTTGCTAAGTTATTATTTATTTATTATTTATTATTTATTTATTTATTTATTTATTTTTAGTATTTGAATGAGTTGTGTGTTTTTTATTGTTCAAAATATTACAGATGTCCCTTTTTCTCCCCATTGACCCCTTCCACCCCGCCTCACCCCCCTCCTCTGTCCCTCACCACACCATTGTCTGTTTGCTAAGCTTTTTAAAAGATCCTCAGGAGATGATAATTTGCAGTGAAGACTGGGAACCACTGTTCTAGAACTGGCTAGGCCCTAGGCCCTAGATGAAAGAAGTAGCATGAGGCAAATTGCATTTCTCCTGGATCTTCTGCTTTTATCTTGTGTAAACTGATTCAAATTTTCTGCTCTTATCCATTTTTTTCTCCTGGCAGACTTTTGTTTTTGATAGATAGCATCTTATTTATTATTATTAATAACCACTAGTCATGGCTAGTTCTTTTTTTAATTTAATGTCTGTTGCTTATAAAGTGCAATATCAGCTGCTCCTAGAGTGTGTACCCCTTTCTGAGAGCTGGGGGAATACACTCAGGAGTGGGCTCTACTGGTTGAATTTGCTAGCAGCCAATTTGGTCCAAATGTCAGCCAGTGAGCAGAATCTCAAAATCACAGGTTGCTGGGACTACGTTTGCACATGTATTGTATTTAGTCCCACGATGTCTAGTTTGACACATTCTGCTGATGAAACGCCCCCAAATCAAACCACTGATCCTAGAAGAAAATATGAGCACACTATACTGTACAGTTTATACAAACTGTGCTTGAGTGAATAAAGTGGAGTCAGATCCTTGAGTAACAGATGAGTGTTCTGCATTCCCAGGTGGGCCAGAGTATGGTCCTAACTCACTGAAGCCCCAAGCATGGCCTCCCTTATACAAGGTCATGGGTTGCTGGGGCAAGGGACAGCACTGTCTTCTTTGACCTCTGCTGGTGACAAGGGGGAAGCTCCACCCTCTTCTCTATAAGGTCTTTCATAAAACCTCTTTTCTCTCTGGAGCCTGGTCTGGAGACATGATCTATTGAACTCACTAAAAATAAAGAACTCACCTGACAGGTGACTCTCCCTGAAGTTTCAAGAGAAATGAAGTATTCTATCTTGGAGACACCAAAAGGGGCAACCCGTTGACTTTTCTGTGTATCCCTTTAGCCCTCAACATCCCTGGCCCCTTTGGCCAATGGAAAGTCCCTCTGCAGACTCCATGGGAACAATAAGAGTAGCTTCCTTATTGGCTTGTTACATTAAATTCTTTCACGCTTCTAAAGCACTTAAAATGATGCCTGGCACACAGTAAGTGTTCAATGAACTTATCATTGTGGAGGGTAACTGGATGGAAAGGGGTGCCCAGAGGGGAGTGGCCAGGTGTGTTCTTGTGATGCTGGTGAGGCTGGGAGGCCAGTGGACTTGAGTGTCAGGACCTCTGTCTGGTAGGGCATGCCTGGGAGCACGGGATCCATACTGCGGCTGGGACGGGAAGCAGCAACGTTGCAGCACGCTGGAGGACAGCTCCAACATGAGCCTCTGGACGCAGAACATCACAGCGTGTCCTGTGAGAACCCCTTTGTGCCACCCCTCCCAGAACTTCTCCCCACTATTACAGGCTTTGACTCCCCAGCAGAATCCAACATCCCCTAGAACCTTGTGCCTTCCCTGCCCCTGCCTTATGTGACTGGAC